GTCACCATAACCCAAATACAAGGAAGAGAACCAGAGTGCAGTGAAAGGAACAATTTTTTCCTCCAGTCCCACAGAATCAGAGTCAAAGAAGGAGAAGGGAATAAAGGTCAAGTCCTTGTGCAGTCCCTAACCTCCACAGGAAAGTGCAGGCTGTCAAAAGCCCCCAGGACCTCTGGAGCTGATGTCATGTACTGTGATGTCATGTAGCAGTGCTTTCAATTCCCCACAGCACAGGCTCAATGTCTCTGAGCAGCACTGGTTCATGTGGACTTGATCCCCTCTTAGAGGCAGAGCACCTTGGTCTGCCCCGTGTCCCCTTACTGGCTGCCTGCACTGCTAACCAACCCTTAGTCATTGTCCTTTACATGCATGCACATAACTTGGGTGACTGCACAAAACTTTAAGAAAATAGGAATAATGCTTCTCCAAGTTCTTACATGAAAGATGATACAGATACGCAATGAATGATTTTCTCATCTTCCTTCCATGCTGTGATTTAGCTCCAGACCTACAAAAGGAATTCTCTATGCCCACTGAATAGACACCAGGACTTTTACATCCTGTGCATGCTTGAAAACACAAAGTTAGGAGAAGTCCTCCCTCCTTTTCCCTTCTTGGTAAAAAATAACATTTCACTTCCAAGAGATCCTTGCTTAAACTTGGGAGTTTGGTTTTGAATTCAACAGGATCCTGTCAAATTCTCTCAGCACCTTGAGCTTCCTGATACAACCAGAATGCGAACTGACAACTGACCACTGATGAATCCTGCAAGGACTTGTATCTCTGCCACAGTCCAGAACAAACTGAACTACACGTGAGGCAGCTGAGAGCAAGAACTGGGCTCAAATCTCAAGATTAGATTTAAGGAAGAAAGTTTGTACAATAAAGATAATGAAACTCTGGCCAAGATTGTCCAGAGAGGTGGTGGATTCCATATCTTTGGAAACATTCAAGGTCAAGTTGAACAGGGCTCTGAGAAACCTGATCTAGTTAAAGATCTACCCTGCTCATTTCAGGGGAGCTGGACTAGATGAACTTTAAAGGTGCCTTCTGTCCCAAATTATTCTGTTTCAAATCTGGGACAGGTAAATTTCTGGTTTGAGCTGCCTGGAATTGAGCATTATGGTCTAAATCTGCTCTGGAATTAGCCAAGGATCTGAAAAGAACAGCTAAAATTCCTAACAGAGCCTGGATTAGAACTGAATTTCCCTGAATTATCTTCATAGAAACAACAGCTGGTTAGTTCAGGTAAATGAATGTCAATCTAATACTCTATTTTATTTATTAAAGAGTAAAAATCAAAAAAGAAAACAGGAAAGGAATTCCAAAGCCAACTGTATGGCTTACCTGGCTCTGGTACACCTAGCTCTGAAGTCTACTAGTAAATGTAGACTAAATGACCCTACAAACATTACTGTGAAGAAACACAATGCATCCTGGTGATACTAGCTCCCAACACCAAGGGACAGAGGAAGGGATTAAAGATTTTCTGAAGGCAGAAAGACATTTCAGAGGAGGCAAGGAGATGCTTGATGGGGGTAGTGGAAGAATGGTTAAAAAACTAATAACATGTACAGATAAGCCATAATTGTCACACTCACAGCTATGTGCTCCCATTTAAAGATGAATTACTTTGGCTGTCAGCAGCTTCATTAGCCAAAAGAGGCCATTCAGATGGACCCAAACCTATTTACTTTCTAGAGCTGGTGGTGCCTGCTTCATATTGCACGGCCCCACATTGGTTGTTCAACGATGCTGATAACTCCTGTGGGAGCTTACATCCTGCTAAGTACTTCACTGTTTAATTGAACTGACCTTTCCTGACGATGCCCCTTGTATTAAAAGCTGCTTTGCTCCCCAGTGAAAATGGTTTGATAATCATAATATTTTACTCAGAGGACAGTTGTTTAAGAGCAGAAAATAATCAGCTAAATTGGTAGGCACCCCTCCGGAGGGGCCCAGGACTAAAATGACAGAAGGTGCTGCGGATCAAGATAGCTGGCAGAGCTGATGATGAGGACAGAGCTCGGAGCAGCACTGGGCTGCTCAAGGGCAGAGACACCAACAAACTGGACAGCTGGGGAGGGGAGTGCAGGCTGAGCCAGCACTGCACCCTCTGCTCAGAGCTGAGATGTGCTGGCACAGCTTGAGCTGGGCATGGGGCGGGCGATGGCACCTGCGGGAGCCACAGCAGGAGGAGCAACTCCATGCAAGCCCAGCAGTGCAGGACTGTGGAGTGCAGCAGCACTGAGGGACACAGTATCTCAAGCTGAGATGGGGAAATAGCACAACACTTGCTTCTGTGGAACAGAAATCCGTCTCAGAGAGAGGTCTGTCTGAAATAATAAATGCACACCAAATTCAGGTTTAGGAGTGCTTTGGGGACTGAGATTTGAAGCTGAGATTTTTTTAAACAGAGGACCCATTTACTTTCAGACCATGACTGGCCTAGGGACAAAGAGGTTTGAAGTGAGAGGAATGTTTGCCAAAAGCCTTTTTTCTCCCTGTTTTTATCCAGGCTAGTTGCCTTACCAGATGGTTGAGCAGCATCTGGGAGAGCTCTTTGGGGCTGGGAGCCAAGGGTGTGCAAAGAAGCACATCAATGTAGACTGTTAAGCACCCAATAACAAATGATGCTTTGCTTTCAACTTCCTGTTATAAAGCATTTGCTGGCCTGAATGTGCTTTGCTACACCTTGCCTTTCCCAAGTACAGCAATGTGTCCATTTCCAGTGGTTTTTATACAGAATTGGCATTTTGTGGATCTCTCAAGTCACAACTAGAGTGCCACATCACTTTCTCCTATTCTTCCACTGCAGGAGTATCAAACTAATTTTCTCAGATCAGCAAACACTCTTCCTTCCTTGTAGTGGCTCAGACCTGCAGGCACTCAAAGAATGTGCTGTTGAGTAAACTAAATTTTTTCTTGTTTTTTACTTACAAGGACATTTCAGTTGTTTTCCTCTTTGTGCTAAAGCTACTGAGGACAGGACAACACTTGTATTTTCTCCTCCCACAGAGGGTGTTTTGATTAGCTGTATCTGGTTGAGTCCCTAGGAATGTGGGATGTGTGGGAGCTCCCATGGACTCCTGGTGCCAGGGTGCTGAGATAAGGCAGCTGCTGCACATTCATGGATGAGAGCCTTTGCAGTGGCAGGCTGACCTGTGAGAAACACCATGGCAGGTCCTGGGAGATTTACTGCACCCTGGGACCATCTGCATTGGCTCCCATGAAGTGGATGTGCAAACAAAAACTCCCCTTCTCCAGGATGAGCCAGAAAAAAACTCTACCAGGGCACTGCACCCTTCAGCAATGTCCTGCTTTTTCCTGCTTGTGTTAGAACACCTTCTCAGCTATCCAGTCAAGCAGTCACAAACAGCTTGCTTTGCCTTTGGAGAGCTACCAGAAGCCCACTGCCCAAGGAGGTAACTGGGTTCACCTTCCACATTGTGCTATCCTCTCTTGAGGATTCAGTAGATTCAATCTCCAAGATAACCATAGCTGGCCCTTGAAGGTCTACCCTTGCCTCATATTTCTGTGTCCATGAACCACAACAGATGAATTGAAGAGATCTGTCAGTGCAAAAATCCACTAAATAAAATTAACCCAAGGAGCTAAAATTGCAGTCTAACTGCCAGGGCTCCAGCTTGATTTTATCAACTCTCTTTTGAATGGCAATTACATTGTGAACTGATCAGTTCAAGGCTAAATCCTCTGTGTCTTCTTCTAATTAAATACTCATCATCTAAATATTCGTCTTACTCTTAGTACTTCTACTTATCAATTTAATCAATTCCCCCATTACTCACCTATCTACTTTAGCCTGCATTTTGCCATCATCATTTTTTTCAGGTGATGCATGCAGTTCTTTTTCACTGCAACTGCCAAGCAAAGAATACATCTTATCCAGAATGTCTTCACACTCCTGTATCTCTCAGCTTTAGAAAGGGCATTTAAGTTGCCTGATATTCACAGGGGACTGCCCTGGAACTTCATGCACATTCCTTCTCTGCTGGCCCCAAGGAGCAAGACTGCATTCAGGAAAATAGAGTATTTGATGCTGGTTTGAAAAATTCATTGCCTAACCTTGTATAAGTGGTCCAAAACATCTCCCCTGAGATGAAAGTATTTTGTTAGTGGAGCATTTTGAAGAATTGCTTTTGAATGCCAATTAAAAAAATCCCCAAACCCAGGAATTCTTTTCATTTGCTGCTGGTTTTACTACATCTTGTGATAAAAATGTATATGAGGAGGATATATTTTCATTGTGTCCCTAGTAATATTTGCCAAATGATCTCTTCTTCATTTTTCTTTTTTAAAAATTAGAAAATTATATTTTCACTTTCCAGAAGGTTATGCAGCTTTACCCTTGCTTATAGCAGTTTTTCTCAAATTATTTGTTTTCCTCAAGGAATTTTCCATGTACAGTTTATCTGTAAAAATTTCCCTGATAAATCTGGAGCCTTAGGAGGGAAGGATTAAGCTCACTGCATTGCCTACTGTCCTATCATTACTCTAAGGTATTGTCTGGTGGACAAATTTCTAGCTGTGTTGGAGGGAGCTGCTGCATTTGGGGTTTGGCAGGGGGATATAATTAGGTATAAATAAATAAAATATAGAAAAAAGTGTATTAGCCAGGGTTTTGATCTGACATTGGCCATTCTGTAAATATGGCAGACTTTGATGACAGGTAGCACAGACAGACAAGCTGAACTGTATAGCACTTTTTCACCTGTGCTTTCTCTGAGACATGGCTCCAGCTTGCAGCGCCTTGCAGACTTGTAGATTTTGGAACATTTGTTCCCAGAGGAGCCTTAGCCTGTTATAACAGATAGATTCAATGAAAATATCATTTACCCAGCTTGAATAGATATCCTCAAAGTCACTTCAAACTGTGCATCTCCTTTTTCTTACAAGTGAGCAGTGACAATGTGATAGTAGAATATCACATTAAAACTGAGAATTTCATTAGCAGTAGTTCCATAAAACCAAAAACTAACCTGTGCATCTTCATATGTATATCTCCCTGGGTCTTTGACATTTTGGCTTGTTTTTTCATAGCTGTGGGAATCCAGGTTAATAGCACTTTGGGCCCCAGGAGCTAGAAACTCTTGCCAGATTTCTTCCACTCTTGTGGTCACATCCTGTAAAGGTCGTTTCTTGAGATCTTGGACAGCCAACCAAAACCTGTACTAGGCAAAAATTAAAAGGGCAGAGAAGAGAAAAAGATAGAAATCTAGGTAAGATTTTGGCAATAAGCCTAGGCAGAGCCCTAAAATAGACACAGAACCTAATCCTGCATCTATCAGAATTCACAGAAGACTCTCCATGTAAGCATGATTCCAAGGGGATGTACTTTATATCAACCCCTTATATTTTGGCTAAGACCAGAACACTGACCTTAAGAAGTGATACATTCTTATTCAACTGCCCCTGCAGAAGTGTCAGATTAGGTAGGCAAACAGGAAACCTCCAGAGCTATGCAGCTGGAGGAGAGGAGTAGGCTCTGCCTCCCACAGCCCCACTGCAATGTGCTGGTCATTCCTGCCTGCAGGACTGGTCATCCACAGGGGATTAAAATGAACAACAAACTTAACATTCATATCATTTCCAGTGTGAAGTTGTAGCAATGCCACTTAGAGATTTTTTTTTACTTGTAAACTGACCAGCATTCAGATGGATGCCATGAGAAAAGATGACTCTTGTCATGCCATACTCCAATTTTACAGGGGTATTTTCTTGACTAGGCTATGCTTACAGACTAAAGTAAGTTCATAAATACTGAGAAGATAATCCCCTTGATGACTAAGGACATAATCCATATCTTGATCTGTGAAAACAAAGACCACAGAATATTTTGCAAGAGTGACATGCATGTCTTTTGTCTTTTATCCTAGGAAAAAGAAAAGACCTTTTTTTGGTGGTGCTAGTTTAATTTATTGCTGAAAGAGGTATGCTCTTTCAGGTGCTTAATTCACAAGATGCATGGTGCCCGGTAGCCTTTTATTTTGGTCAACTCTATCTTCCAACAAGAAGGCATCCCTGAAGGGTATCTGCCCTGAGTACCTGGGCCCTGCAACCTAGTTGAACAAGCACAATAGTGCTCCACAGGGAGTGCTGAGGGCTACGGGGCAAACAGGTACTGAAGGCATCTTTGCAGTCACCTGCAATAGCCAGCTCTTTCCTACCCCCTGGAAAAGGTGGCCATTGTCCAGGTTGACAAGGAGGGCAGGGTTCACCTTGGCTGTCCCTGCCCTGCACTGCTCTTATACACTCTCTCTGCTGGGCAGACTGTGCAGAGGGGACAGGGAATGTCTGGGTCATTGCTTGTTCAGGGCATCTGCAAGAGCTGCACAACTTGGAAAATCCTGTGTCTCCTTTATAAACCAGTTGAACTGTAACTGAAGTCCTGATTTCTCACCCCAAATGATTCAGTGGTTTCAGTGTGCTGCCACTAAGGCAAATATTCCTCCATGGTGGAAGGAGGAAGATAGAGTCTGTCCCAAACAAAAATCCCAATGGCAGTGAGGGGGACTCCTGTGCTGTTCCTCACTCTAGCTTCCTTAATGGCTGTGGGCAGTATCTAAACACCCTGGAATCAGTGGTGTTATTGCAAACAAGGCTGCTACCCCATTTAGCCTGGTATCCTAACTGCAATAGAGGCAAACAGTCAGTTTGGGGGGGAAAATGACATCCACACTACATGCAAGGCCAGGCTAAATCCTCCTTGCCTGTCTGCTGCTTCTTTCCGACCATCAGGGGGCATCATGCCACAGCCCTGACTCACCCAAGCCACTTGACGATATTCCTTCCTATGGTTTTTCCATTTCCTTGACAGGCTCATTAAAACAGACTGGGGTACACTCCAACACTACATCAGTACCTTTGGAGTCACATACTTGTGGTTCTAACAAGGTGACATTTGATTTTATGAACTGAAATAGAGTATCTGGGGTTGGTGGAGGAGTGTGTATGGTTGGTCCTTTTCCATCTTTGAGAGTTTAGTGCACCTGATATCCTGCCTTGTCATTTGAGCAGTGACATCCCCACTTATCACACGCATGCAGAGAGTAAAGGGTGGCACTCACAGCACAGTAATCTGATGCCATATGTGGTTTCTGTTATTTGAAAATACTTTAGCATTCAATTTCAGATGTAATAGGAACATGTGAATGCAGAAAAGGCATAGGAAGAAAAGATGCTAATCATTCCAGAGTAGCTGGGACACTTCAGACAAACATTTGGCTAGAGAGAACCTTTTCTTCTGGCTTATCTTCTGACCCTGGAGCTGGGGAGGCAGGCTGGGAAAGCACGCTTGTGAGAGAGCTGGGAACGTTGTGAAGTGACAGCTTGCCAGAACAGGAGCACCATCCATTTTAATAACCATTTGGCTCAATCTGAAAACCAACCAACCAGACCAACCTGACAGTAACAAGAACAAGCTCTTTTTACTGCAAGCAATTGTGAATTCATGCCCAAGGCTGGATGTCCTCTTCAAGGGAAAGGGGAGTTTTGTCTTGGTAAAAATTTCAAAGCTATTCACTATAGCTGGCATCTAAAAATCAAGCAACATCAAAGAGGGGTATCCAGCCCCACAGCTTCAACTCCAAGGCAAATTCTTTGCCATGAGGAATCAACCTGAAGCCAACACATAAGCAGGGTTTCCTATGGGATTTATAGCATTTACAAAAGAGAAGCAGGTATTTCTACTAAGGAAAGGAGCCGACATACAATGACTGTGCTGGAAATTCTGCTCAATTATAAAGTGCAAATGCACTCCCTGAATCCTGCAATTTCTGAAGCACAAGCACAGCCCCAAGTTCACAAGGAGTCAGGTGAAAATTCTGCATTGCCTCCTCTCTTTCTGTAGGAGACAGATGTCCAGTGGACACCTTTGCACAGGGCAGGGGAGAAGGGAGATGTCCTTGTGTGTCCTCTCCACAGGTGCCCTTTAAGCAGAGCAGGACTGGCACAGGGACTGTCTGCACAGAGGGAGCAGCAGCAGCATTGATCACAGGTTCTTTGTCCTTTATAAAACAGCATGAAAGGACTGGAGAAGGCTGATAATATGGTGTCCTAAAGTGTTGTCAGTGGCAAAAACCATTTCAGCCTCATCCAGCTTGTAATTAAACTGCTGTCACTTGCAGAAGATATCCCACAATGGCATTTATCCTCCACAGCTCCCCCAAGGCACAGAGAGCTCCTGGACCTCTGCGTGCGCACTCTGCCTCCCTGCAGGGCACTGCAGAGTTGTTTAGTCACTGCAGTTCAAAGATGTCCCACAGTGAAAAGGCTGCTAAGGAAGGACAGAGTGAGTAGCAGGGGAGTGGCTGCTTCTGAGAGACGCTGTAAAACAAAAATTGATTTTAAATCCTGATCAGGAGGCAAAATATGGATGACTCCAGAAACTGAGGAACAACAGTCATGATAAGGGCAGTGTTGTATCCCCAACTTGGGGGTGGATGCAACACCCCTAGCTGGACAGTGAATTCATCAAGTGACTATCTGAGGTCAGAATCCAAGCTTCTCTCCTTGCCTCAGTGGTTCCATGCCAGTATCCTATGCCCCTCCAGTCTCACATCTCTAACCATTCACAAACCATCTTCCATTCACCAAGAACTAACTTTGAACATCTCAGCCAGGAAATGAATGAAAGCAATTGATAAAAATCAAAATGCAGTTCAGACAGGGGCAGTATTCACATCTTTGTGCTGTTTAGTGGTCAGATCCTAGGCGTGGTGAGCTTGGCATGGCCAAGACAAACAAAAATCTGTCTTTGGTGAGCAAGCTGGGGTCTGGCAGATGCTGCAAAGCTGCACGGTGGGGCACTGGGAACCTGCCAAGGAGACCGCAATGTCGGTGGGGACGGGGCAAGCGTCCCCCTCCCCTCCCCTCCCGGTGCACGCCGGCGTCCACGGTGCAAGTCCCTCCTTCTGCTGCAATTCCTTTCAGTGCTGGGGGGCAGGACAGCCCTTTTGTCGCTGCCGCGGGGCAGCGCCCGCCGGCCGTGCGCAGCGCCCGCCGAGAGGCCCTGCCCGGGCCCGCTGAGGGGCCCGCGCAGCGCGGGGCGATGGCGCCGCCTGCCGGCACCATCCGCCCCATCCCGGCTCTGCCCCGCACCACCCCGGCACTGCCCGCACCCCGCTTAGCCCTCCAGCTCTGGCACTGCCTCGGAACTGCTGGGGGAACGGTCTTAATTTAGGGAACACGGGGCTTTGGGGCGGCTCGGTGTGTTTACTGCATATATGAGCTCTCCTCACTGCCTGAACTTCACCTTTCCTGATGAAAACTGGGCGGGGGGGGGGGAACCTGGCAACAAGTTTCAACCATTAGGAGTCATGTAAGCTATAAACACTTTCTGCGGGTAGAACTCCTTTCCCGAGATCTCCATGTTCAACATATGCTCACAAGCAGTAAGGCCCAGGGCTCCTGCATCCATGCACTGCCAGCTCCACAGTGCATTCCCACAAAGTGTCATGTGCTTCCCACTGAGGTCTATAAACAGGTGTGCAGCCTCCTTTCCCTTCGGGTGAAATTCCCATGTTCCATATTCCCACCTTGCTGTTTCCAGCTGACACTCTTAAAAGTAAAGGGGGAAAAAAATTCAATCCACCAGCTAAATTAACATCTCAGCAATCTCAAGATGTCTCAGAAGGTTCCCAGGTCACAAAAACCGTTTAATAACTTTCTGATGCCCTTTCTGTTCTTATCCTTTCTTATTTTTTTTTGTTTTAAATTTGGCATTTTGTCAGCTATATTTTGGGTACTTCAAAAATCACCCAAGTCAAAACAAATTATAGATGAAAGATAACAACAGAGAGGAGAAAGAAAACAGAGCAAGGAAAAGAGTTAAAATAAAAACAGAGAGAAATATACCAAACTGACTGGCTTTCCTGCTCCCACATAAATAATGGACAGCCAATAAATAAGTTACAGGGCTCAGCCGAGCCCAGGAGACTGGTGGACAAGATCCTGCAAGTTTATTAGAACACAGACACACAGCTGGAAGGTGATCTGGGAGGTCATCGAGTCTCGTCTGCTGCTATCTCTGGCAGTGCCTCACCCAAAGCCCCCACAGGGACCAATTTTTCTCAGCTAGGAAGAGATGGAAATACCCCACCACCATCAGCCCTGTGATTTGGGACTCGCACCACAAGGTATGAGAGCTGAATTTGGTCCCCTTGCTGTATTGCTGAATTACATTCATTTTAAGGCATTCTCAAGCACACACTTCACAAAATCTTTTCTAGTGGTACCATGAATTTCTAGGTTTTCCAGCAGTCAATTTCTCAGATCTGCCTTAAATTCAACATATTATCTGCCTTAAATTCAACAGTTTATAGGGCTCCGGCCAGTGTTAATCTTAAGGATAGTCCCAAGATCCTACTGGCACTCCCAAGAGATAATACATCTCTGCTGCAACAGTTCCAAGATCTCTGGGTAGTTACTGGGAAGAGAGTTCAGAGAAGATTAACTTTTGTTAATCTGTATGTTACTTTTCTAGCAAGGTGCTAAGTGCTGTGCTCTCAGAAAATTTCTTACACCTTCCCAGGGTTTGGGTGGGATATGTGTCATTTTACTGTAGCTGTCTGCCATGCACTCATTTGAATCAGTCTCTCCAGGTTTATGATAACAACAGATGGATGCTTTCTAGTGTAATTTAGGTGCTTTTAGTTTTGTTTCCACTTAAAACAAATCCTTCTCAGGTGATTCACTGACTCCTCTTCAGCTTCTCCTCTCTCTCTCTAAAGATATTTCATAAAAAGAAAGCATGTGCTTCTGAGCTGTTGGCTTATGTGAGGCAGATCCCAACTTTGCGGTTGAGTGTAACTTGGATTTTGTTTGCATGCGTAAGCATTGAGCAGTTGCTTTCTTTTTTTGGTACATATTCCTAGTGAGAATTAAGGAGCTTTCCCTGCCTCACCTGAACCCTTCTTCTCTCTAGCATCACTGCTAATAATTCACTCTATTCCAGTTTCTTCATTAATATTTCTGCCTTTGCATCCTTTTATTTAAGGCTTTAAGCAGGCTTGCTAATGTACCCAATATGAGATAAGAATACCACGTAAGGCAATACCATCATAATGATACCATAAGAACTATAGCAAAGTTCCCATACTAAGAATAATGCCAATGTCTTCCACAAAGGAGGTAGGATTTAACCTGCCTATGCCAGCCCACTGATTTTGCCAGCTCCCTTCACTACATCTCAAAATCAAAGAGAATGTGCATCAGCAGGAGGAGCAGCTCCAACTGACCAAGGAAGGTACAAGTTTGCCTCCTCATAATCAAACTTTCTCCATTTGTTGGAGTAGGATGAACATGGGGGACAGACGCTAGTCATAAAACCTGCTGGATTTCATTAGCACAACTCCAGATTAATTTCAGAGCACTAATTTGAAGAGTATTTTAATACAGTATATTAATTTTGCACTTCATCACTACAATTTAATTGCAAATAAGTGCTGCTGTACATAACTGCAGTAAGCATATGCAAGTTCAGTACCTGCTTAGCAATAAAATTTCAAGCTTATTTGTGTAATTAGTAACACTCCCTTGTTTTCTTTAAGGTTATCTTTCAGATTTTTCAAAACAATAAAGTGCATTGAGTTTTCACTGTTTTGCTGCTGGCATGCTTTCTGTACTTCTCCTTGGACAGGGAAACCTGATAAATAGGATGGTAAGTTCCAATGTCATTAAAAATCACTTTCTGGGGAATTCCTCTTTCCGGTCTTGCAGGTTAGCCAACTGCACTACAGTGACAATTGTTCACATGCTTTAGTAATGTATTTTATTTTCTAAGTGAAATAGAATGAAAAAAACATAACTAAAAAAGGCAGTGCAGTCAGGTTCTTATCTGCTGTAAAAATAGAGAACATCAAGCCTGCTCACTACGACCACAGGCCAAAGCTGGACTGACTGTGTGATCACTGACAGCAGATTTCCTCAGCCCAAGAGCAGGCACAGTTCTGTCAGTGAACCTGCAAGCTTCTCTGGCCTTCCCTGCAAATGCTCACTTAGCCTTCTGGAAAATGACTGCCCCAAAAAAACCCACAAGAACCTGTCCCTTTACCCATCCTTGTGCTAAGACACAACCACAGCACCACTACAGCACCTCTGTAGTGTTATTCAGTAAAAAAGTGGGCTTACTGGCTCTCAGCCTGATGTAGGATCATGTGCATAAATACATAATGTTTCATAACACAAGTTTTGACTTCTTCACAACTTGAGAAGTCAGGTACTCAGAATCCCCACACAGAGAGTCCTGCTAAGGTGAGATATGCTGTTGGATAGTTAGCACATGCCAAAATTAAAAGTAGTTGTTGCACACCTGACTGCAACTAGGAACTGCAAAGTTCATAGCCACACAATATCCATACTGTTTCCCTACCACAAGCCCTGCCCACACAGACACATGTAAATACTATATATTGTTAGAGATGCAGCAATGGGCTGCATCTCACCACATCATGCAAGTCCTCAAGCCCTTGCATGCAGAAGATACCTGAAAACACTGGCTCTGCTAAACTGCTTCTGAGATTACTCACATAGGTCTAGTATAGGCGTCTGTAGCAGTGCTATGGGCCAAACCCTGCCATTCTCATCTTTATTTAAATGGGTGTTTTTAGCAGTTCAAGACACACCAAACATTGCATTTCACCTATGCAAGAGAATAGGATCAGGACCATTCATTGAGTCAAGTCAGAAAAGGTTTCACCTGAGGTTTTCTGAGCTGAATTCTGATTCCAGGAAACGAAGGAACTGGTCTCGTCCCACTGGGTCCTTCAGCACCTCATCCATGGAGAAACCCCATCTTTTCACACGCTGCTGACTAGGTTCTTTGCTGTTTGGAGAGAGAAGGGGAAAAACAGATGGAATGTGCATCTCTGCCTGCTGTCCGAGCAGCTGCTGCTGTTTCTGCTAAGTGAAGGGAGGAAGATTATTAGATGAGATGTTGTTTTTTTATCAAGATTTTTCAGAAATACAGGTTAGCAAATAACAAAAAAAAACTATAAAGACCAGGATCAACATTAAAGCAACTGGAGGACTTTAGATCATTACATTTGAATCATTAAAGGACACTATTTGGGTGCTACATACATGGTGAAATAAGAGAGAATGTGAATGATATGATTTTCAAAGTAATTTCTGATAGGTTTCATTTGGAAGAACAGCATGCCATGCCTAAATGATATACCATTTATATTAATACCATACCATTATGCACTTCTTGCATATCTCCTCAAATGTACCTTAGGATTTCTTATGCATCAAGATAAAAATTTCCCAGCAATGTTCCCTGGGTCACTGGTGGGCTCCAGAGCATTTCCTTGTGTCCCACACAGTACTGCCTGGTCACTTGGAACTGGCTTCAGATTTTCAGATCCACATTTGCATTAGAAAAGCAGTTCCACTAAGAAGCAGTGCAGGCAAAGTATCTAAAATGATTACTGGTTTGTGGTCTTTCATTTTTTAGTGCCTCTGATTTTTGCATGCCTAAGTCTCAGAAGACTAAAAAACATCTTTCTCCTACTCTATGATAATCAGACTTTTATTTTCTATCTCAGCTGGGACACTGAGATGCAGAGGCACCCAAAATCACCAGCAACCTTTCTCCTTAATTATTTCTTAACACAGCCAACTTACATAAGCTGTTGTTTGAATTGCCAGACATGTTGCAGAGATGCCTACGGGCAGAGGTGGTGCCTGGGAATCACAATGAGGATCCTATGAGACAGTCTGCATCAGAGCGTAATCTGGGCTCACAAAGTGTTTGAAAGCTTCTGGTGTGATGGCGTCATACTATGAGACAACCATTAGAACACTGCTCAGCTGCTCCCATGTGTGACAGCAGAGCCATTGTTAACAGTACATATCTATTAAACTATGTGTCTCCTCATGTCCACAGCGATTCCTAATCATGGAGCCTTAGGGGACAGTGGCGATCTGTGCTGAAGACAAATAAGCCAAAGGGGTAAATAAAATGCCTGCTTTCATTTTCTCTCGGTGTAAAGGCTAAGCAAAATTGATAGGCATGTCCTCACTCGAGGAGCAGCACACTTGGGATGGCTCCTCCTGTGCTTCCCTCAGGAGCCAGCAGTGCTGCAGACAAAGGTGCAGATCCAGCCTACCTGTTACATGAACCAGCCTGGCCATTGGGACACAAAAGCCATGTTTGTGCAGAGCCATGCACAATCTAAGGTCAGGGAATTTCCTGCTGAATCCAGAGATCTGTACCTGCTCTTCTTGCAGCTACACAATGTTCTGGCACACACAAAAAAAGGCCAAAGTGCTGTCTAAAACGGAATGCTTTCTGTGGCATTTCCTGAGTCCTGATTGCCATGGAGGATGAACTCCAGTGGCATGGGGGTGCCCATACTCAGCAGCTAGCCTTGCCACTGGCAGTCAGAGGCTCTTTGTTTTCCTGCACAAGGGCTCTGCCCTCCTAACTGAGGAAACAGCTTTGCAGGCAACACAAGGGGATCTTGGAGATCATTTAATTATTCATGCAAGTTGCAACTAGATGCAGATGCAGTTAGTTTTTTTACAATAGAGAATAAAATGGAAATATATAGCTGTTTGTTTTTCCATCTCCCCACACTACAGCTTTCTCTTTTTCACCTGCAGGAAAATCACCTTCCTTAACTCTGAAATCATAGTGGAAGCCAAGCATTTATTTTAAATTCCTATAAGGCTGTGACATCAGGTTAATTGTATTCTTCAGGGACACAGACAGCTTTTCTGGGATTTGCAGCTACGTCAACAGATGCAGAAATAATGGATGCCTGGATTACCCTGTGGGTGAGGGCTTCTACAGAGCAGTATTTTGCAAGGGCTGTATCTGGTACTAGTCCTACCAGGGAGGATGGAGAAAATGAGAGAAACTAGCTAAGAAAAAAATAACAAATACTAAAATTACATGAAGAGGGGCAGAGATTAGGAAAATAATGGATTTCTGTGACTACCAGAGAAGCAGGTGAAAACAACTTTCACATCCCAAACTACTTGGTTTTTAAATGGGGAAAAATCTTGGTCTTTTCCTGGAACACTGATTCTCTATGAATCAGTTTTCTTAGGCCAATAACATCTCTAAATTATTATTCAAGAATATACAGGATTAGATTTGGCATTCTCTTATCAAAGATTTGCTAAAGTGAACTCCAAGTTCAGATTTGGTGCCAAATGGCAGCAACTAAACACTGGAGTAGCGGCTGAGCCCTTGCAGTTGTTGGCCGCAGGATGTGATTGAGTAGTGAAGGTAATATGGGGCATGGGATTTCCATTCAAATTTGCTGTGGGAGCTGTCAGGCATAGTGGCAGGCAGGACAATTCGAGCCCCTTTACAAGGATTGTGGATAGCCTGTGAGGGCAAGAGACAGATGCAGGCCAGAGTTCCCTTGCACCAGCATCACATTGGCAAAACATGATCTCTGCTGCAGTGTTCTGCTTGTTTGTTTTGTTTTTTGTTTTTTTTTGGCGGGGGGTGGGGTTGAGAAACTCTCTGAGGTGCAAGACATTGAATATCCTCCAGACATTTCTCCCTCTTTTCATCTATTTGACACCGTAACAGAGACAAGCCAGCTTGTTCACCAGCAGGTGAGGCCCAAACCCAACCAATTACAATTCTGACCTGCCAAGTCTCACACATCACATGTGAGCTACACTCTTCTGTGCCAAACTCACTCTGCACAGCAGCAATGGCCACCACTTATAACTCATCCCATTTTCCCAGCAGCATTTTTCATGGGATTCCATGACAAGAGAAGGGCTGGAGCATTGCAGCTGGGAAGAGTCGGCTCCCAAGGGTCAAATGTGATTTGCTGGAACAAGCTGGAGATGTATTGGAACAAGTTTGTCTTAGCAGTGTCCTACAGCTTTAGGCTCCTAGACCTGAGTCTGTGCATGTGCTCAACAGGTATGACAACATCCATTACCTGACTTACAGAGTCCCATACATCAAGCCATATAAAAGTGGAAGGGCTGAATAATTCACAGATACCAGTGATAAACTTTAGCTATGTTCTTGAATCTTGTAGTACAGACATACAACTTGCTTTCCAAACAGGGCAGTGTTAAAAGGATATAAAGAAAATGGCAAGACAACTCTCACATTAGTTAAAACTACTAATTAATTTTTACCTCATTTCAATGTCCCACAATGCTGCATCATCACTTATCCAGGGATTGGAAGGCTCAGCAGGAGTTATAAAGGGGTCATATTCCACATACTGCTCTGTGTAGGCTATTAAACTGGCAGGGGAAAAAAAAGGAAAAAAAAAATAAAGAAAGGGTTGGAATGTTTAGTCACATGTCAGAAAAGTACAGCTTTTCTTTTTATCCTGTTGGTTTGGGGTTTTTTGGTGGTGGTTTTTTGTTTTGTTTTTGTGTGTGGTTCTTTTTATTTATAGGGATTAGTCAGTTTCCCAGCAATCACAGGAGACCCTTTTCCCAGGGATGATGCATGCAAGGATTTCTCTGCAAACACCCACCAGCTCACTGCAGTATTTTCCTCAACAGCAGCATTTTCCTCCAGCTTGTCTCTGTTGAGATGCCCCCAAAAAACCTGATGAGGCAACAACTGGATTACTATGGCAGGACTTCCCCCAGAGAGCCATGGGAGGAATATGATGTATGTGTCATTCAATTAATTTGCTGCATGTTACTATTGCCTCTCATCCTTTTCATTTTTGCAAACTTGTGCACCCACATAAATTTATGCACTATGAGAAACTCACCTAAACAGGGTCATGGGCTGCAGCTAAGAATATGCTTAAATCTTTGGAGGATCATAGTCCTAAACATCAAAGCTTTGCCTATAGATAATTTTTTAGTTATGTTGGTATTTAGTCTAACAGCACTATTGTAAAATACTTCAACAGTAATAATTAACTTAGAGAACAGTAAATAATATGCATGTTGGAAAAACTCCTGGCCTTTACAGTGGCTTGCTTCATGGTGAGTCAGTTAAGGCACATAGCCTCTAATCCTCACTAGGATGAGATTCAAAGAGCTTTCTGGGGAAAGAACTGTGTCTGCTTGCATAAATGATTCAGGAATTCCACTGGGGTTGGGGCTAGGGGCGCATTTTTACAAAAGAAAGACAGCAAATATGAAATAAATCAAAAGACATTTCTTCTAGTCTATACTGGAAATACTCTAAGGCACTTTATTTTTTGCCTACATCTGCCAAGTAATTAACTAAGTTAATTATGTCTCATCATACTGAACAACCAATGTACTTGCACTGTGATTGTCCACGCTAAACTTTACCTCTGGTCCTTCACATCTCAAAAAGGCAGGCAAATGAAAAAACCCTGCAAACAAAGGGTCATAAAAGGCAGAAAGTTTCCCTGAACTGCTCTATAGTAATTATTTCTTTTTGTTTGTCCTAGCTCTTATCATGAGGCATTAAAATCATACACTTTTGTAACCACAGCAGGTTCCCATTGCCCCTTAGGGCACTCGGGGCTGTCTCATCTCATTTCATTAATTACATTTCATGACTGCTGTGGGTCAAGGGTTGGAGGAGGGAGCAGCGTCCAATTTCACAGAGCAGCAGCAGTCCCTTAGACATCAATGAAAGAGAGGGTTGGTTAAAAAAGAAAAGAAAGCCGAAAAGAAAGCCAAAAAGGATCAATCAGGAGATATCTGCTGTGAAACCTGAATTGCTCCTAATAAAATAATAAGAAGGCATCAGAGGTGCCAGTACAAGTACTAGCAAAAAAGAAAGGGAGAAAAAACAAAAATGAAACAAGGGGGAATTTCTAAGTACATTTTGCTGATTCAGTATAATGGCAGCAGCAGAATCATTGCCTCATTGTCTACAGGAGGCTAGAGGCAGGGCACTCCTAAGGAAAAGCATTTTTGTCAAAATGCAAACCTGGCCTTTTGGGTGATAAACTGAATACCCGGTAGAAGAGGTGGTAGGAACAGTTGACTGAAGAGTGTGGAGCTTGCCTTGAGAACCCAACTGCCTCTCAATCAAGGGGGCCTGCTGAGCCTTCACAGGAACTTTGATGAGAAGCTGAAAGAATAGCACAAATTTTCATCTAGGGAACTGAGATTGCTTCTGGTAGGAAGATGTTCATTTTTCCCCAGGCATTTCGGTGATGCCATTTCTAATGAAATTGTACTAACACTGCACAATGCAGTCAGGGGAAACAATAGGTAGAATATATTGATAGTTTTTCTCAGCAGTTCTCAAAGCTCAGTGGTTAAAACTGACAATGCACAGGTCCCAAGTGGGGAGAAAGGATTCGGAAGAAAGACACTTTCCAAGGTATGTGGAGCAGCTGAGGGATGCCTGTTCCTACAGTTGGTACAGATCTACTCCTGGAAGCAGAACAGGGAGGAAGGGGAAGAAAATCTTTAGCAGCGAGCATTTATCTCACAGAAGCTGGAGATACCCTTTGGAGAGCCTTCCTCTACTGACAGACAAAGGCTATCCCAAGAATAGTGTGAATTAATGTAAAATAAATACAATTGATCTATTACTATTGAAACAATTTATATCTTGTTCCTATAACTTGTTTGACCTAGTGCTTCCTGGTTTATTTGTTCCTTTTTACTTCCCTCATCCTCTCTGAAAGTGCCTTTGTGCTATACTGAAAAATTGGCAGGTGGTGCCACTGTCAGGCTTGACTGTTGATGCCAAGAAGTCATTTCCTGTACTCTGATCTGCCACATTGTCACCTAAACTGTCCCAAGAGCAGGGTCCAGCCTGAAAATTGATTTGATAATAATAGCATCTCCTTACGCAGGAAATTTGTTCCTAGTGCTTGAAATCAATGTTTTCAGGGGGCTTTCAAGGCTGCACAGGTATTTTTTCAGGCAATTGTGCAAGTCAGGTCATCCGTGTTCATTCCTCCTCACCAGTCCCTATCCCTGCAAAGCCAGGGGACCCATCAGCTTCTCTGCTTCCCTCCTACCTGCTCTGCAATGCTCCACATCCAGGCTGCACTTCCCACCACTCTCCACATCAAGTCCCAGGACTCTTAAAACAATATTGCCAATATTCAAATCAATGTTCAAAGTCATCACATGACCAAACACCTCCTCATAAATAGAGATCACAACCACAATTTTCATTCTTTATAATTATTAATAATGATTTAGAAATATAAGGTTCTACACCCAGAGGGTGTCTGGGCTCTGGAACAGCCTCCCCAGGGAAGTAGTCCTGGCACTAATCCTGCCAGAGTTCAAGAAGTGTTTGGTCAATGCTCTCAGGCACATGGTGTGATTCTTGGGGCTCTCTCTCCTGTGCAGGGCCAGGGGATGGACTTGATGTAATTTGACTGTTCTCATTTTATTTGCTTTTCTCCTGGTTATTATTTTGCACAGGTTTTGATCGCAACATTTTCTTCTCCAACTTGACAGCAATTAAAAAAGAAAAAAAAAGAAACCCTTTCAAACCAGGAAAATTATTAATGTCTCAGTATATTAAGGTCATTGTAAATAAATTCAGTACAATAACTTTTTTGTTTTTAAAGTACAAGTATATGTTCTTAATTGAAAAGATCCAAAAGCCCAAAACATAAATATAAATGGGCTCATTTTAATCATACAATGTATTGCACGTAGGATTTCAGGGAACCTCTGAATATTTTCTCTTTAATTGGATACATTTTCGTTTTAATTGCTAAACTTGATGAGCCAATAAGAACTTACATCGGGCCTCTCACCATTTAATTTACCTGGTTTAGTACATGCATGCTAACTACAGATGCAGGCACTGCAAAGCACATTTCATGGGGTATTCTCATTTTGCTTTGCTGAAATAAAAACTCCTCTATTATTTCTCTAGAAGGAACCAGCCCTTATCCTATCCTTCATGTTCAACACAGTTTTGTTTTAAAAATGATATCACTGAAGAGCATGGCTACCCCTACCTTCATCTCAGTGACTACCCTGCAAATGCACGTAACTTACAAGTACCTAAGTAAATGAGCTGTCATACTCAATTAAATTTGAGCTTGTTCTTCACCTATTCATACTTTTCTACCAAAACGAAATATTCTGCAAGTCAAATTGTGCCTTGATTTGCTTCTTAGAAATCCACTCCTTGAAACACTGCCTTGAGTAGTCCAGGTACAATGCCAGTACTTCTCTAAGGGTTTCATATACATGTAAGTGGGAGCAGGAACTGGTCCTACAACCCCAGTAGGAACAGAGATGTGAACACCATGTACAACAAATGCAAACACAGTTCCTTCCCCACAGCTGTGCCAGACTAACAAGATATAAGCACTGAGAATTCGGCCAAAAAGGGGAAAAAAAGGGTATTTTCAAATTGAGACACAAATGACTTTTCTAAAAATAAACCACAGGGTAGTGAAGGGGTGGGAAACAAGTCACACAAGAGTTTTTTCTTTTATGAATTCTTCTTTTCTTTTGCAGATTACAGGTCCTCATTTCCCACCTATTTTTGCTCAGTGGCAGAAGAGTGAGTACAGGAGTGTCAGCAGCCAGGCAGCACAGCTGGTCAAGGAGGGGAAAGGATTGATGCACAGAAAGGGGGTCAAGCCTTTGCACTTTGCTGCCTGCTCTGTTTCTAGAAATGCCAAACTGGAGATGAGGAGAATGGGAAATCATCAAAATGGGGACACTCACCTTTCTGCTACTTTGGACATCTTTAAACAATGTCTCTCTATCTGCATGTTCAGAAAAGTTATCTGAGGAGAGAGATGACAAGGACATTAACAATTTATGAGTTCTGCAGCATGCATTGACAATATCCCAACACACTATTGATTTCTCCTTCCAAACAGCTTGAAAGTAATTCAGAAGGAAATGGGACCCTTCCCTAGGTATCAGAAGCTTATTAACTGCTTCCAATAGCAGGCTCCCTTGCCAAAGGCAAAGCCCTAGGGGAAGCTTCAGAAGACATAACTGAAAGTAGAAAAGACACATATTTGGGGCCAAGGTTCCTAGACTACTCAGGGTACTATATGATCTCCTTTTTACAAACACACTCTGCTCTCCCATTCCTCTTACTGACTGGCATCACAAGAACAGTAACATTTTACAGCACACTTTCATTCTGCTATGAACCAGTTCTTCAACCTATGATAAAAAAGCTCAAGAAATCTAGCATCCAGGCTTAGCTCAGAAGACCACCCAAAAACTGGTTGCCTAAGAAACTTGTTTAAAGATGCATTAGTAAAATGCTGATCCAGTGATTCCTGTTTGTCTTTCAGTGAGGGCTGCTTATTGCATCAAAATAATTTTGAGAGAGAGCTCTTCATGCCAGTGCAAGGATGTGTGAGTTGGCTGGTCATTCCTTGGCATGATTGTCCAAATAACTTTTTCCTAGTTTCCTAAAAGCACTGACTGTACAGTCTAACAGTCATGCATTGAACAATATCTTTCCTCATCACTCATCCCAAGCCTGTGCCCAGCTACACTGGCCTTTGTCACTGTCCACTTTTTAGACATCCTCAATGAACTGGAATTATTGCCTTATTGTCTGTGTCTGGTCCACCGACAATAAAAGTAGTTTCAAAGGTCAGTGTCACTCACAATACGTATCACCATACAACCACACTGCTCAATGAATACTTTTAACACTTAACATAAGTGAGAATTAAGGATAAGTATGTGAGGATCAAGGACAGGTAAAGCATAGAACTGGTTTTGCTGGTATCTCAGTACCTTTCTAGGCTTTTTTTTCTGGGAGCAGTTCTCAGAATTCTGAGTTGCCATACAGCCACCTACTTACCTGCTTCCGGAAATCCTCTTTTGTCGTTTTGCGCACCGGTTGGGAGGGCAGGTGTACGGGGCTTTGGGGCTGAGACTCCTCTGTAACCCCATACACTGACTGTGAGGAACCAAGGAACAAACCAAAGGGGTTATAGCATTTTTCTGTTACACAATGAGGAACGGTGCAGTATGAAAAGCAGTAAGGTAACAAGCCAGCAATTTCCTACTGTTTATATCCACACAGGTAATTATTCAGCCCCAAGCAAAATTTACAGATCAGACCATTCTTGCTGATGCCTGCACTTGGAAGGCCTGTAGGTGTGTTAAGAGAAGAGTTTGTTTTAAATGTTTAAACGCAGATGATAATTTTTAGGAGCTCTGAAGGCTGTGTGCACTAACACTTGCAGGATGAACACTGGGAGCTGTCACTGGGGTGAATCAAGTAGTAAAAGAAAATACTAGAACCGAATTCTATGCCACTGTCTTTCACTTGATTTAATTTCTTGATGTAAAGCTACATATTGAATAAAGTTCTTAACCAGGTCAAGTCAATAGGTCACATGAACTTCTCTAAACAAAAACCTGGAGACTGACCTGTAGCCATTCATTTTCAGGACAGACACCTGCACTGAAAGTAATACCATTTGCCCTATCATTTAGTGCTTTTGCTTCTCACTAAAATTTCTAATAGACATGTGAATAGCTCTGCTGCAGTTTAACTATTTATGGAAATTCAGGAGTCCAGTCTTCTGTCCAAAAACATAACAAGTGATAAGAAGAAACAGCCTGAAGCTGTGCCAAGGGAGGCTTAGATATTAGGAAAAAATTCTTCTCTGAAATGGTTATCAAGCACTGGAACAAGGCTGCCCAAAGAAGTTGTTGAGTCACCATTCTTGAAGCTATTTAAAAGATAGGAACATGGTTTAGTGAAGGACTTGGTTAGGTTAAGGTTTTGAGTCATTGATCTTAATGGCTTGCTTCAATCTAATTGATTCTATGAATTCATATACATAGAAGAGTTCAAACTTGCTGGAAGTCAAAGACACCCAAGTTACTAATGATCCAGTCTTTGAAATGATTAAGGCAGGTAAACATCTCATTATCTGTGCCCAGAAAATTTCTTTAAAAGAGACCTAGGTATTTTTGCCAATTCCTTTTAATTTTATGGGAAGGCAGAGCCATCAGACATTTGGGACACAGAGATCCTTAATGCCCTTCTCAGCTCTACTCATCACCCATCAAGTCAGTACAACTATGCTGGTAAAACTGAAATAATAAATTCACCAAGGAGAACAAAACATAACTTGTATTATCAAAACACTTTTTTTTTTGCTCCTCTTGGGTAAGTCTCATATACAGTAGGTGTCAAGTATGATTTAAATTAAAAGAAAACAAAAACAGTGAACCAAACTAACTCCAAACAAGAAAAAATGAAAATGAGGAACTAAACTGACCTTTTTCACTTTTTGTGGGTTTTTCATACGGCGACACTTTCTAATGTCCATTTCTGTGGTGTTCACACAGCCTGGCTGAAAAGAGATGGTAACTGTGTTATTCCTCTGTTAAGAATCTCCATCCTACCTTACCTTTATAAAAGGTACAATTTATAAAATATACAATTTTTTTATAAAATATAAAATTATATTTTTATCTTTATAAAATATACAATTAGATCTTGTCCAAAACTCTTTCTTGAGGTTTGTGTTACTCTTGCTAAACAAGAGACTGCATATACCCATGGATGCCATGTCAGCATTCAATCCACTTACTCCTAACTTTGGCACCAAAAGGAAATAGCTAACAGTGGGTAGCTTTTGCTACGAAGTCTGAGACAAACTGAGTAAGCTGCTTTTCTTTCATAAGCCCAGTAAATAATTTTCCAAAGTTTGTATTTTTCACATATTTCCAAATCAACAGTTCCATAGGTACAGAACTCCAGAATGTCTCACATAATCTAGCAGACACTTGGTGCATTGTGAACTGCAAGGAAAATCAATAAGGTGACTGTAAGGGCAAGGTTTTTGTGCATAAAGCATTTACTAGTAATAAAACTTTTCCTATCAAAACCTGGAAAGTCTCTTCATTCAAAAATAGTTTTACCACAGGCCTGTGCACATCCCAGAATGCTCTTTCCTGGCTGTCCAAAATCTTTCTTTCTGTTTTATCCTTTTTTCTGTCGATTCTGAAAACAAAAGCATAAGTGAGTATGAGTCAATGTACAAGCCATGCTTTCTTCTCTGATATAGTTCCTAGCTGGGGTTCTTAACCCCAAGACAAAAAATTTCAGAAATCAACTTTTTTTGTACAGTGATGTTGCACTTGCACGGGCACATGCCATGAACAAAATAACACTGATGTTTACTCCAACTTGGGTAAAAAAAGATTTTCCTATTAATGTGGAAAAATTTAACAGGTGTTTTTCATCTGGTGAGGAAAACCTTTCCTGCTACCCTGTTCCTGTACTCTGATTTGACAGGCTGGGAAAGTTTGTAGTTTTGTCTGTGTCAGGAGACCCATCAGGACCTGTTTGCTCCAGGTGAGGATCCTGGCTGATGCTGAACTGAGGTCCCCATCAGGAGAATCCATTGCACCCAAATGCTCCAGCAGCACCACTCAATGAATACAGATTGCAAAGGAGCATCTATCCCAGACATTTCCAGCAGCAACAGCCTGGGGGGCACTTGTGGCCAATCCTCCTTAGAGCTTTCAACTCAAACACTGCCTCTGCCTGTGTGCCCCCATGCTGGCAGAGCAAGGGGTAAAAGCACAGGTGACCAAAGGTGAGCTTGCTGCATGGGCCCTACAAACCAGCACCCACCCCAGAGAGACATGACTGGGCTGGCACAACAGGAACTCTGTAATTCCAGCCCTGATGCAGCCAGTGAACCAACTCACTGAAAGCACACAGCCCAAAGGCCACCAGAGGTTGTTCAAAGCAATTCTTGGCAGCAGTGAGCAAATGACATCTGAAACCTCACTCAGCTTTACACATAAGCACGAAGTCAGCACCAGCTTGCAAGATCTACCTGCAGAGGGACTGGAAGAAGCACATGGAAGGAGGAACAGCCTCCATGCCTCCACTTCAGAGCATGACTGAATAAAGCTCTGTGTCCCTGTGCTGGGTTCCCACTGGCTGCCACCAGGAGAATCAAAGCAGTTAGGAAAGAAAACCCAGGCCAGCTGTGATTTCTGACCACCAGGTTCTCTCCCATCTGTTTTTGTTTTTGAGGGGCAGTGCCCCTTGGCTAAGTCTGTGCTAGAAATGTACCAAGAGGATAGGAATCAGGGGAGAAAAACTGAAGTTTATGAGCAGCCCTCCCCAGAAAAAGGCAAAATTCTCCACAGTTTGGCATCACTAGCTGATTTCCCCCTTGCAAGGCAGAGATGAGAAACAAGCTCTGCCACAAGCTCTGTCCCCAGACAAACCAGAGCAGCTGCTGTACTGCGCTGAGGACACCCAGCCCAAAACTACTTTTCTGAGTCAGTCCTTCACACCTGGCCAAGGGGGAAGGTGAAGCCTATTCCAATCTTACAGCACACACAAATTGAAGGGACTCTTTGGAAGCTTCATGAATTCTCTTCATCGACACTGTGCTCAACCCAGATTGTCAGCTCCTATCTCCAGACTTACTGATAACTCAGTATTTCACATTTTAAACTATGAAGACCCAAAGCAGCTTGATGCTCGATGGCTGCAATTTTTGAAGCAATGTGGGTATAGCAATGGGAATTCTGTGTGCAAACAAAAACATGAAAAACAAAGCAAACTTGGTAAGCAGGAGGAATGTTTTCAGGTATTTTTGATTTTTTTCCTCCCTTTTCTAGTTAACTTAAACTTTTAGTTAATGTGAATTACAATGTGAATTCCAACCCTGCCTTTCTGGAAACCTGAAGACTGAACCATCACATGAACTGTGGACCAAGAAGCTGACACTCGCCAGCAAAAAAGTTGATAGTGGCCAGTTCATGCTTATGCCTCAAAGAAAACAGAACGAAGAAGAGATGAATAACCAACAGTGATCACAATGAGTCTGATATTTACATTTCTTCCTTAGGTGATAATTATATGTTTTAGATAGAATGCAGACTTTTGTTTTGACTTACACTTTTTTTTTAATCTTGGCAATAGCCTTTAAGTAACTGAAAGTACAATTGCTATCTTAAGTTCTAATTTTCTCTTCCAAATGGAACACTGCTATTCTGGTTGGAAAAAATCCCTTAATTATCCTGCAGTTTAAAAGATAATTACCATATATTTAAATGGTACATAATTGCAATGTTTTTAAGCAAAGAATTTATCAAAATTCCAAAGGGTAATCAAAGATAGAGACATACACCTCAAGATGCACCTTCAAGAAATCATATACCGTAACTTTTCAGCATCTAATGCTGAAAGTGCAAATTCCTTCCAATGGAACCATTTCGGTACTGGTGTTCTCATGTGTCATCTTCACCAATCTTTCCGTTTTATAAATGACAATGGCAGGCACAAAATGGACACTCAAGAGTTTTAGGCATTAGTTTGTAGACCATAGTACACAAACCCTAGACCATATCCATTTACCAGCAGTAATGAAAACACACTCAAAATATAAAGAGGCTTCACACTGCTTTCACAAGGGAAGATGAGAAGAAATACCTGTTGTAAAAACCACCCTTATAATCACATGGAAGTGACAATATTTTTAGACTCAGAAATACTCTGCAAGCATAGAGTAACACAGACAGATGAAAAAATTCTGCTCTTTCCATTCATACAAAACAAAAATACTCTACAAATGTAGAAGCACAATGGGCTTGCAAATTACCCAAGGTCCCATGGTGAATACAGGATTAGGAGCTCCAGACCAGTGTTTCCATGTGCAGATAATTAAACCCATCTTTCAGTTTCTGGCACAGATCTTCAGAATTGGCTCTCTACTGTTTCTAGTCTGCCAGTGATTAAAATTCACCAACACCTTCTGAGCTTAGTCACAGTAAAGATTTTGACAAAGAAGTTTTATCTGTTCCGAATCCCCTTCCCTTCACAGCTCTGAATACTGGTGCAATTCAGTGCTCCAGGATTACTCACTTCACTTGGGCCTCTGCTTGCATGAAGATGAATTCCCACTTTCTTGCAAACGCTCTCTGAAGTCTTGCTAAGTTTTCCTGTCAAAAGATGAAAATTGTAAGAACAACTAATTTCTGTAATTACAACAATTGCTTGAGAGTACATTTAGCATGGTGGATTTTTTTTTTTTTAACTGAGAAACTAAAGACATGGAAGTCAGTGCTGGTTTCAGGTGAACTATAATGCAGGCAAAGCAAGGCTGTAACACATCTTTTTGGGCTGCAACCCAAAGGGACCTGCCAGGGATAAGTAATGGAGTGTGATGAAGACAGCTTGAGCTCTAGTATGAAAAAAATTATGGACTTGTTCCCAAAAGATAACACTGAGAAGCTTTGTGAAGCTGATGACTTTCATTTCTGATAGCAGATGGCTGCCAGCTGCACGTTTCCCTCTCATCCTCACTTTCCCTCCCCTCTGCACTGTTCTCTTCTCTTCAGGCTTTTGTGAAGGTGCAAAGCCTGAGGTCCCCTGCTTTGCTCAGTCCTGGTCACTGCTGAGAGCATTATGCAGCTGCACAGTACTGAAGGCTGGGGATTGCCAGGATGATTCACAAAAGGAAATAGCTTGTTTGTCTGAACAATGAACACAGTTAGTGCAAAGAATGGCTCCAGATGCAGTTTTGCTCTACACCTGAAGTAACAGCTCTGGTCCAGACCCATTCCAGTGAGTGTAGGGATCTGAACATCTGGATGTGGATATGGCTTCATCACAGCTTGAGGTTAAACTCAGAACATGGCTGGAATTTCAGGCTTAAATTCCACCCTGAAGTTACATTTCCATACCCCCCCCCCAAAAAAGGAGGACTTCGAGACAATTAACAGGACACTCTTCTCCATTACAGCTGGTTTAACTGTTTCAAATTTACATTGAAAACAAACACTTGTAGTTCTATTCTTGTTCTCTTTATACTTATCACCTTTACTTCAATAAACTTTTTCAGGCACATGCATTTCAATACAAGAAAAAATCTTCCTACTAGTTACTTTAAACTCTTGTATAACAAAGAGTTTAAAGGCATAAAGCTTGGCCCTTTTACCACCAACTCCATGTAACAGCTTCAGTCTGTACATATGGAGGAAAACAGTTAAACAAATGATTTACAGCTGTACTGAATGTGACGATTTCCTTAACTGTGGCTACAAAAAACAACAACTTGTAATTATCTGCAACACAAATTTTTGTGGGTATTTTTTTCATTATTTTTATTTTATTTTAAATTATGTTCACATGTGCCCTCTGGAGTAAATATGCTGAAGCCAATGAAACATCACCAATGGAAGCTATATTTGAATTGTGCTTATGTTTGACCAATTATAAAAAAAACTGAATGCAACTATACAAACTTAATCACATCATCAAGACTCCTGCTCTAATCAGCATGAATGTGGGCTGGGGGACTGTCTGTAAATGCTGCAAGCAGAAACTAAAAATGAAATTCTATTCTCTTGAAGCTCCAGGTCACTGCTGATATCTATGGAGAAGCATTCTCATGCTGCATCTCCAAAGGTATGAGAAGCACTGCTTCTCACTCCTGCAAACCTGTTTATCTCACTTGTGCTGAGCTTACATCCCTTGCTGCATCATCTTCAGCTCCCATAATGCCTAGGAAGAGTTGGTGCCATTCTTATCTGAACGTCTCCAATTAAGAGAACAAATTTGAATGCAGAAGTAACCTCTAATTGTGCAATGCAATATTCACAAGAAAAATGAGATACTGCCAAGATCTAATTATTTACCATCACTGGAGCATTGCTACTCTCAGTAGGCAACAATGTGCAAAAATACTTAGCCAAAGCCTGACTGCATGTGTGTGGGAATATGTGCACCACTGAACAGCCTTTTATGGCTTTATGGTGGATCTTTGGAGTACTTACACTTAATTGGTTGGATGTGACCAATTTTAATGGTTTTAATAATGAAATCAACAATATGCAGAAGAAAAAACTCAGCAAAAGGACATGTAAGTGTATGCAGGTTGTTATATTCCTTCCTTTGTGCTTGTTTGAGATTAGAACTCTTGGGAAGTCGGAATGCATTTCCAGGGTGAACTAGATAAGTGGCAATTTTTGCATGCTCTGCACTCGACCAAATGGCATATCTCTCCACATGCACAAATGTTCCAAAATGTAAAAGGAAGAAGGAAAAACTTCAGTCTTGGGAAAAAAAAACAAAAAATCCCACTCTAAAATATATGCAACATAGATGTTTTCATTGTAATAACCATGACCATGTAAGTCCAACTTTGTAAACAAATCCTCTAACAAAAAGCTCACGTATAAAAAAAATCCTGCTATTACACTGTTGAGCCAGTAAACAGAAGAAAGTCAACATGACAGAAAGAAAAGTTTAGCTGCTCAGAGCACTACACTACTGGTACTCAAAGAAATACTCAGCCCTGCCCCTCCTGCCTCCATCTTCCCAATCCTCTCCACCCTGCAGTCCAACACCAAAGTTTGAGATGTTTTTATTGATAGTAATTCCAGATCAGAAAATGCGCTCTAAATAAAGTTCAGTGATATTTTTCATATGGCATATAGAAAATGCTCCAAGTCTAATGTCTGAGAACTTTTGTAACAAAATGTGTCATCAACAATTTAATTGCCCAGTGGCACACCTGAAAATCTATAATTTTCCTGTGCTGAAATCTCCTATATAAACCAGGATTTCCTAACTGAAAACAGGACACCGAGCGAAACTTCTGTGAAATTTGCTCCAGTCTTGAAGGGTTCATTATACAGCAGATGCTTTAATGTGGGACACAGAAAAGCCAGGGACATTCATCAGTCTTGTTCCTGATGTTGTCTTCGTATCAGCCTTCACACAGTACTGACAACTAAGGAAAAGATACAGTAAAGGCTGACCCCAAAGCACAAAATGGCAGCATTTAGTTGGCAAGCAAAACTATCCCTGCATCCCCCAGCTTTAAACTCTAGCAGCAGTGTACCTACGGCTTCATAATCCGCCAGCTCCAGCCTAGCTTTGTTCTGCATGGTCCGTTTGCAAAGATAGATGGCTAAAGGGAGAAACAGAATGGAAAACAATTACAGACAGATTATTAGTACTAGATCTAAAAAAAAGAAGGAAAAAAGTATTCTATAGACAGTTTGTTTTCATCAGAAAGCAACATGAGTCAAGGAATGAGAGGGCTGGACACCCAGCTGACATTGCTTACAACTAATCTCAGAGGCCCTAAATATCTGGGACATCTCATTTAAAAGTGCTGGGAGCAGATGCCAGGACCTAACAAGATATCCATGAAAGGCACAATTGCTTCTGGGTCTGGTAAAAGATATAGTATAAGCAACCTGTTCCCTAAGCAGTTTGGGAATATGCATGCCAAAGTGACCATCCCTGCACTTCTTTTCTGCTAAGAAAAAATAAAAATAAATCAGGATATTGAAGTGAAAACAGAAATATAGGCCAGATCTTAAAAGCATGATCTGAGCCTTTTTAAATATGCTCCATTGTCTTATTCTTACACATTTCAAATGGTAAAGAGAAGCCTTGTCACATTTCACTATAGGCAGAGGCTGCTGAAACTGATATGGTTTGGAATTCTGAGGGTCAAGATGAGCCCAGCACACACCACCAAACCAGTCCCAGGCTGTCTTCTGGGAAAGCCCCACCTGGATCTGCTAAGCGCACCCCATTTTCATTAAAGGCTGAAACACAAGGTCCGCAGCACGCTCTGGGTATACAGTCAGGTCTGAACCTAATAGAGGACCAGTGCTACTCATGTAATTCTATTCCGTGCTGTTTCTGTAATTTTAACATTCATATAATGAGCCAGTATTATGCACTGTAACCAGAGCTGACCAGTTCATTTATATTTACACATCTCAAGGGCAGTTTTTTCTGTAAGGCACTTATGATACCAAATGAAGTAAGTCAGTTGCCTCACAGTGTTTTTTCATGCAAGGCAGTGAACTGCCATTAGCAAGTTAGTTCCTCTCCTGTAAGTGGATACATGCAAATAAAAAAAGTATGAAGTGCTCCTGGGATTTCAGCTTTATTTGGGTCTACTGCTAGTTTGGGATTAATTCCTGGGAAGACTCCATCTGTACAGGCCTCTGATATGCAAAGTCTGATTATAAGCATATGTTAGAGGTTTCTGGGACAGATGAAAATCTGTCACTACAGGACTCAGCTAATGCAGCTGAAGCTTGTCCAGCTGTGGGTCAGCTCATAGAGGGTTTTATTTTGGTGTACTGCCTCACTCAATGCCACTGCAGTGCTGACTAACTGACTAATAATCTGACTGCCAAAACCAATTATTTATCTGATACTGCAGGAAAAAACCAGAACCTCCCTCTTTACATTATTTTTCTGGTATTTAAAGAATACATATGAGACACAGTTCACACAGTAATATAGGGTGACTGTAAAATATGGAAATCTTTTTTGCAAATACAAAACAGCATTGTGTTTTCTCCTTAACCATTCCCTCACTAGCATAAACATGTAAGTCTAGTTCATCTGCAGATGAGGACTGCAAATGAATTATCACATGACACACACCATTGCAGGCTACTTCTTCACCCCAGCAAATGATTTCCAGAATCCATAATGATGAATAATTATTGCACAGGAAAGAAGAAAACTCAAACTGATTATTCAGGGAGGAGTTCTAAACCAATCTTAGATTATGAGATAAAGGACTTCCAGAAGCTCCCGTTTTATGACTGCATACATGTATACACTTCCTCTTCCAAAGCCACACCAGGATGCAACAATTAATTTTATCATTTAACTGTGAAAGCAGCACAGGTCTGGAAGAGACAGCAATATTGCATGCAGACAGCTAAAGATAACAACACTGACATATTTTGTTTATGTATTACCCCTGTTTGCAGGCACTCGCATGTTTAAAACACCATGTTGCACTTTATTAACTCATAAACCATGCTCACATCTAGTAATCTTAAAAAAGTGGGAAAATAAGTCTGATGTCATGTATCAGAGAACTTTTAGCTATGGGCTGCTGTTAGTTATGTACTGGTTTATTGATCAGTCAGATAAGTGCCCAGATGAAGTAAATTTTATTGATCCACATAACGGATTCAGCAACAGATCAGAGGATAGTCTCTCACAAAAGCAATATTGGTATTATTTAAGATTCCCAAGAACCAGTACTCTGCTTGCCACAAATCCTGCTGAAATGAACAGGGCTATGGGAGAATGAAGGCAACAGATGGCAAAATCCTGGCCCCACCAAGCTCAATGGCTACAGCTCCAGGGGCTTGAGACACTGCAGGGTTTCAGTTTGTGCATTTGAGACGGGTACAGATCTGCCTCAGCACTTGAAGGGTGTATGTGGCCAGTAGTAATTATTTGAAGGACAACTATTTACATAACAAACTAACTTTCTATAATGCAACAATCATGCTCTCACCATAATCTGTGTTTTCTGGTTCCCAGCAGTTAGAAGGCCAAAAGTATGGTGCCTAAGAAGAAACATACACATTTTTGTAATTTAAGAGATAAAAACCGATTCAGATGCAGAAAAACATTACAAGTTCAAAAAGAAGAATCACAAAATCTACCACCCAGATTCTGCCCTCAGGGGAAACACTGCTACAGATTACAGTAAAAGTGAAGATGCTGCAAAAAATCTTTAATGGTCCTCACTGCAGGTAAATAGAGATGCTGTTATGCAAGCACATCTTGTGGAGGATGTCCAGTGTCCTGATGAAATTTCAGACACTGTTGCCAGCTCATCTGAATGTGGACATCTTATCCACTATCCCCAGAACCTCCTCTTTCCCCAAGAATTCACAGGCCATCTGAATATATATATGTATTTTTAAGCACATGAGAAACCTTGTAGTCTTATCTATATGCTACATATCCCTTGCTTTTCTGGAGTAGCTACCAATGTGGCTGGCAGACAATTTCCTTTTTAGTTGTAACAGATGGCAGAGGTCAGAACTCAGCTGTTTAGAGTCATTCTGAAAGCAGAAGTCCTGCTAAACTTAGTGCTTTGGTTTTCTATCCAGGTCTGCATATTGCAATTGCTACAATTAACTACAAGCTATATATGACTGTATTACAGTTTTAACATGAATGAAAAATGACATAGCAGCCATCACATAAATTACAGAACACTGATGCTTTACTGATTACACATTGCTTTACTGCTGTAATGCTACAGATGGGCATAGGACATTAACACACAGAGTTAATATCCTTCCACCAAAGTACAGTGAGAAAACATTGAGGATTCAAACAATACAGGGTTCAATGATACTGACATGTATCTTATGAATTTCAGAACATACAGAGCTACTCTTAAAGGAGGGACTGAGGTAGAGGTAGAAAGAAACAAGAAGAGAGTAATGGAAAAGAAGTATGATTCTATCAGGTTATTTTTGTAGAAAACAGCTAAGGAGGTGTGTTGGAGGAAATGAAAACAGGCAAAAATACACAAAAATTGTAAGAAAAGACAAGGGAAAGAAAAGTCAATAAGTAGTCATTTTGATGATGTGGTATACACAGGCTTGAAACAATAAAAAGAAATTAAGTTATATTGAAATGTAGCTCCTGAAAACTGCATAGGACAAGTTCTTAGAGTGCCACTCTTTTAAAACAGAGAAAAATACAGGTAAACGGACAACCAGTATTACCCCTGCTTCTGTTATGTTTTACACGAGAGGAGGATCTGGACTTTCAGAAAAGAAAGGGAATTGTAATGAAAAAACTGAGTCTGAATGATGCCTTGCAACCAGAAGGTGGGGTGAGATAAGAGACATCTGTGATCTCCTGGGCTTTTTTTTTCACCATGACATTGGTCACATATGATAACACAATACCACATTAGCAGTAGGCATGAGCAGCTGTAACATCAGATGCAAAGAGCAGAACTGGCTTTTCAAATAAAAGCTAAAAAAGAGGAAAATAATGTAAAGGAGGAACAGGAGGGTGAACAGAAGAGAGGTGACAGGAAAGATAAGGGAGCTGGCTGAGAAAATGTAACAGAAAAACACAAATTCAGCCAGCAGGATGAGGCAGTAGGACTCCAAGTTTAGACTTACTGCTTCTTCTAAAGTTATACAATCAGTTCAGAAGGAGCTGTTGCAGCACAAGCACTCAGTTATCTAGTGAGCTGACACTGGCTGATTTTGGACAGGGTATGGAACTCAAGCACAGGGTGCTTAAAAAATTCAGCACATCTGGAGGCACAGGAACACTGAGGGATAGAGATGTCCCAGTTTAGGTGATTGCCAAGGTTACACATCCTTTGTAGAAGAGTCAAAGCCTTAAGCTTGCCCTCTCCCACAACAATCTGTAAGTAAGAGATGACAAAAATTTGAATTTTTTGCTGTGCCAAAGCTTGAATGTCCAGCCCCTAAGTGTGCCCTGGTCCATTTTGCACAGGAGAATGGCTACTTAATTCTGCATCAGAGTTAGGACCTGAAAGCCATCTTCTTTCTCCTGGCTTAGTTCAAATCTGAGTAAAACAGCTGTGAATTCAGGTATCAAAAAGAGTCACAAGACATAGCCATTCATTCATGTAAAAAACTAAGTCAGAAGGTAGATGAGAGTGATTTGGGATTCTAAAGCAAATTTTTTTGAAGGGACTTAACCTCTCCTAGGCCTCTACGAAGATAGCTTCAATCCCTGGCTTCATGGATCTAATGGCTGATTAGGTAGTGGGTGATTTCAGCAGGGACAGAAGAGGGGACCACAAGGGAGTCAGGGTGCTCACCAACCTGAAAACGATAGAACGTCCCATCATCCTTAAGGGTAAGGACATGGTCTGAGATGGGAAAGACGTAACCCTGTGCAGCAATAAGACTTCCCAAGTGTATTGCTTCCCCTGTGAAAGAGAAAAAACAGCAGGGATGTGTCAACAAGACACGCACTGCACATTTCTCTGCTTTCAATTGCAGCTCTGGTGATGACTCATGTGAAATCTGGTGCCCACATGCCTCTCTGTACCCACACCACATCCCTACTACTTTCAGCCAAACCCTGCAAAGCAGGGGTGCAGAAATCAGCCTTACAATACAGATGAAGCACTGCTCAAACGTTTAACCCTTTAGTTTTTTGTTAACAAAATTCACATACCAGTCCAGCCCAGCCCTAGAGTATGAAATTAATTTCAAAGTACATTATCCACTACAGGTGACAGCTGACAAGAAGCCTGTTCTGTCAGTGAACCTCACTTGCTTCTACCAAATTCAAAAAGCACCTGCAACACCTGTTCATTAGCAGGATATTTATTCATAAGGACACATCCTCACACTCACATTGCCCTTTGTTAGAGAAAATATTGCAAAGGGGAGTTACATATCCTAGCGCTGCCCAGGCAACCTTCCCCGATGCAGAGGCCCATCTGTGCAGATTTTCAAGCAATGCCAGCTACCAAAAGCTGCATAATCTTTCACAGTGTTGAAAAATCATCGGCTTGTGCATGTCCAGGTAGCTAATAAAGCTCTTGTCTGCAGCTGAAATTCCAATTTGGGACTTGACAGGACTCATGAGAAGAGATGTATATACAGGGATGCCCTGCTGGGTGATTCAACACTGCTTGTATCTCTGTTTTTACACAGTGACAGTAAGGCAGCTAAAGAACTGGTAGGTGAGAGCCTGGATTTTTTCCCTTTCCTGAAAAGGAAATGAAATTTCTGGACCTGCAGATCTTTTCTTCCCCTTTTCTCAATAGATCTTCACTTGACTAAATGATTTTGGTTTCTCTGAAGAGTGAACTATTTGGATTGTGCCCATGCACTGATCACTCTTTATGAGTGATTATCCATTTATCTATTTGCTTTTTTTTGATAAATTAAAAACCATTATCAGATTCTATAACCCTGGCCAAGAATGACACAGGCACTATGTCCTGTCAGCTGAGGCTACCTTTCTTCACACCATGAAAACTTGATGCTGCATTTGCCTGCTTAATCACACCACATCCACCAACTTCTCTTTGAAGTCTAGGAACAAAACCTAAAATCAATCAGTCTTCTGTAGGTAGCAACAGTTTCACAGACAGGCTAAAATTCCTGCAATAATATTTCAGTGTGTTGCAGTATAAGGCATTAGACTTAATTAATATGTTGACTCTTAACTCTTTTCCTCCTTCTTCCCTCCAATGTTTAAATCAACCATGTTCTTGTACTGCCATTTTAGACTGCAGCAATATAGTATTTACTGTCCAATGGCACACACAATACAGATGGAGCACCTATTTCTCCCCAGCTGTGGTCACCTTACCTGCATCCTCAATGCTGAGATTCTTCATAAGCCACTGCACAATATCAGAACCTTAACAAACAAATGAACAAAAATTTAAGAAAGCATTAGACACGAGACCACAGGGTTTGAGTGCCCTAGAGAGAGATAATATTAAGATAGATACAATAGAACTGGCATGAACTTTATTCCATTTTGCTTTTTATTTCCACTGAGGTTTCAGAATGTTTTTCCTTCTTGTGCCACACTGCAGCTACATGGTTACTGACAGGTACTAAGTCCCACAGGGCTTTCTGTGCAATAGCAGACTTGATATACCTGAAGTTGGATATTAGTCTAATGGTTCCCTGTAACTGTTCTCTCCCGTTTTCTTCTTACCTCAGCATACAGAGATAAGTTTCTGCAGGCACAGGTTAGCAAGGAAATGAAGGAGCGTTTACTGGCACCTCACACCTGTAACATGTAAATGTATAAAACTGAAACATCAGTCAAAAACAGATAGGAGGGCCTTACTTATGTCAAAGACAAGCAATGTCTTTGAGAAAGAGGTGGTATTCAGAGAGCCTGTAACTACAGCCCCTGTGAGTGGTCACCTGGTGGTGATCACACAAACTGAATGGTGATTGGGAAGAGCAAGCCTTTAATATCCATCAAGAAGTTCATTAGATTTTCAGGGCCCACATCCAGTACGATGAAAGTTGTTGCAATCTTATAAAGAACATCAAATTCTCTAGGATTGATCCTCTGTATGTATACAACCTCTGTTGCTTGCATGGCAGTGGAAAAACTTGTCACTGTTCAGTAGAAAGGCCTGTTACCAAAATACATCATGGCAGGGCAGCAAAATGTAGTTAAATGACATACTCAGAAAGTTAAGCTTAAAATTAGACATAATGGTGTGTACAAGTCAGCTAACTGCAGTTCTCCGAAGTCAAAGGCAATCAGCAAAGACACTTGGAGCAATATGGCAAGCCCATACTAAGTTGCAACAGCATTCATCACAACCTAACAATGCCATGTCTGCATGCAGACATAACATCTCAGCATACAGTCAATTTCCACAGAAATATTTGCATTCACATACAGTAGGCTAATAGCCCCAGTAACACTTCATAGAATCATAGACTGGCTTGAGCTAGAAGATACCTAAATATACCCAGTTCCAACTCCCCTCCATGAGCAAGAATGCCATCCACTAGACTAGGCTGCTCAAAGCCCCATCGAAACTGGTTCAGGCTTACAAAACAAATCCCAGAGGATCTGATTTGTGTGGACCACTTCTGAACGCAGACATGGATGGGACTTCAGGAACACCATGAATCACCATGTTTCTTCCAGAAGAACATTTTGCTTCCCACAGGCCCAAACCATCCCCATGCCCTCAGCAAACCTTAGATATAATAAAGGCCAGGAGTCACAATGTGCCATAGAGAGAGACAACAGGTACTGCTAGTGCCCCAGGTCCCTGCAATCATCTGCAGGTCTGACTCTCCCATACAGGTGAAATTCCCATGAGAAACATGAGCTCTACCCCACACAGAAGGGGACAGCAGCTCCCACTCCCCTAGCAATAGAAGTTGATCCAGAACACTACAAAGAGCACCAGCAAACCCTTTCAGACAGGCTTCAGCGGCAGGCAGCAAAATGAACCTGACCTACCTCATCCTCCACCCAAGGCAGATGAAACAACAGACCGGTCCCCTGCAGGGAATCAGCGGGGCTCCTGAAGATCAGGGAAGCATCTGATTTCACTTATATACTGGGCAAGCAGATGTGGTCAACAAGCAGCAGCTGGGCATTGTCTAAACCTGCCTCAAAGGCAAACCAGATACTAAAGGATCAATCTCATGATCTTGTATTCTCAGCAGTATGGTCATTCTCCACATCTCCCAACTTCACCTAGGAGCATTTTCAATTGCCACTACTCTATCTGGAAAGTTATTCCAACTTTTTTTTCAATAGATTAAACTCTTCCTCTAACTTCACAGTTTGTTAATGTGCAATGTATATGTATTTTATAACTCTATTGTGATTGAAGGAAAATAATGATTATTCTTCCTTGACAGTTTCTCCTGAGAGTTTCTATGGAGGGCTGACACATTGTCTCTCCACCTCCACCTCATTAAACCAACCCAACTCCTCCTATGTCCTCTTAAGGTGGTCTCTCCCTATACCATTCAGCAACTTCTCAAATTTAAATCAGCTTCTTTGAACTGAGCTCAGCAAAACTGCAGTCAGTACATTGTAGAACAGCAAACCAGTGCCTCTGGCAATGGTGCCAGCACTTTCTTTTCTCTACTAAAACTAGCATGCCAGATGCATCCCGAGGTCATGTCATTTTCTTGAACAATGAATTTATTCAGAAAAATATGTACGAGGGGTGCAAAACTATCTGTGAAAAGAAAAGGCATCTAGTGAACACTGTTAGCTGAATAACATATGGGGAATATGTTCAGAGCCATGTTGTTTTGACAAGTTTGTTAATAAAATATTGTATTTTATAAACATGGGTGTTCCCTTTTACCTTTTACAAAAAAAATATTTTGAAGACAGAGTACAACATTTATGGTTAGAAAGCTAATTCAAGAAGATTCAAACTGTAGTGCTTCTGTATTGTTAGAAACAAATCCTCACAAAATGCTCTGGGTTCAAGTGAAACCAGAATCTTTCTTGATTTTTCAGTTCATCCCCTAATAAAAAAAATCCACTGTTTCTCCTGATTTTGGTCTCTGGTTACAGGCTTGCAGTGATCTCTCAGGCATTGTATTCCCAAGTGATGTGAGAGCTGATACCTGACAATCATCTACAGTATTGCATCGCATTGGTCACGGGAGGTGAAGCGGTTTCTGCATGATCTCCCTTTCCAGATCATTTCCCTTTCCAGTACAGGAACACTTAGTTCCTGATTTAGGACTAAGTCCCACTCCATTTTAACATAGAATGATCATGTCCCAGCTCTAGGACACTTCTGAGGAATCTATTTAATTTCCATCAAACAACAATGAAAAACTCAAGTAATGCTGAATGCTGGCTCCCCAGTATTTGACCCCTCATAAAAAAGGTTTATATGGGCAGGAAAAGTATAAAGGGGTAAGTAAACTGAAGGCACTGACTCAACCAGAACTCCTGTGATCAGCCACTCCAGAATATAAGCAGCAGTTGAGATCAGGAATTTTAATTTGTCTCTGTTAAAAACATGAAGTAATTCCTGAATGCTGCCAAGAGCCTGGAAGATGTTATAGCTGTTCTCCAGTTGTCCTGAGGCAGAGAGATTATCTTTCTGCTGAGTTTGCTGAACCATTATTTATCACCTGCCAAGACTGATTACTCACTCTATGGACAATGACAAGTCTTTCCTTCCTCTGTTAATTACTGTTATTGTTAACAGCCATGTCACTAATTAATATTCAGTCATAATGAAAACTCTTTTCTGCCATCTCCCGTAATACCTTAAGTTTTTAGGGTTACCCTTACAGATTGGCTTTGCATTTGCTTGTGGCTGTTTCTATCACTGCAACCTGCTTTTGCCCACCTAGAAATACTACTTGTGCCCTTCTTAAAAGAAGAAAATTTAGATTTATCCTTCTAAGACACAGTGAAGATTGGAATGATTTCTTTACAATAGTGTTGTCTGCCAGACCAAGACATGGATACCTCTATCTGTAAGTCTTCAAGAAAACATCATCTTCACCTCTCCTTTAGATTAAGCCAGGTAAATGGTCCTCATGTAACTTATCTTCCCAGAAGGGCATTTTCTCACATTTCACAAGCTCTTTCAGAGGGCACCCAAGGAAAACTCTTGACTCTGATATGTTTCCACTGTACCCTAACAGGGCATTTGAAATCCTCTGAAAACAAATAGTTGATCATGTCTTCATAACAGGAAGTGTTACCAAATCCAGGTAGAGAAATAGCTTCCATATTCTCTGTGCTCCTCTCTATACATCTACATTTCCTCTGAGTCAAAATGCTCAGTTCAAGAATAGCCAACATCCTCTGAACACCTATTTCCTCCTCATCTATAATGAAATATATCTTTTTGCCTTAGGCTCTTCTTTGAAGCTGAAGTTGCTTAACACCAACAGAATAGCTGTATTTCTACCTGCAAGCAATTCACAATGACCATTTATCCAGCTACGTATTTAGAGACAGACCCGCAGTTTTATATTTATTGCCATTTTCTGCATTTTCTCTTCAGCCTCAGTGAACCCATTATAGTAGCTAGCATTCTCTACTGGCCATTGCCTGTCAACATGACAAATGAGTGGTAAGACACTGAAAGATAAATTTAAAAAATTCACAAGGTGTGGGGCCATTGGCAAGATGCAGTTGGTGAGGTGAGTCACTATCCCTGTATTTGATACCGTATCTACTCAACCTATGTTGTTCTACCTCTTCCAGAAAATGCAGAAAGAAAGATTTGCCCATCTTTTACATGCTGAAATGACAAAGGCAGACAGGACAACTCACCATCCTCCAAATACTTCTAAAGATTTGCTGCCTGGAGTGGAGTCTGTACCTCTGGTTCTGAGGTACAAGGACCACTGAGGTCTGCTTGTCACACAACAGACCAAACATGTCCCTGACAAGGCCTACACCTGTACACACGAGTGTATGTATACAAATAAAAATTATAGGAGTATTTCTGAAACCTCAGCAAATGTGTGTGTCTCTATTTGTCTTTTTAGGCCTGGAAAGACAACTGCCTTTTTGCTGTGTCCTGAGATGGCAGAGCTTACAAGCACTGATGAGTGGAGCTCTACAGGGATTTGACATGAGACAGCTCATGTGGTCAGGTGTGGCACCAGGGACCAAGGACTACACTACAGTTTGTCCTGTCTCATGGGACTTATTAAGCTGAGCCCTGACCACTGGCTGCCATCAGCTGATGGGGTGGGTTATCCTGGATCTCAGATCATTCACAGCCTCACACTGCACTGACAGTATCAATAAAACAAGTGAGGTTTTAAAATACCACCTGATCATACCATGAGAAAATGTGTTATACATATCTGTATACAGAAGGATACAGAAGATTGCTTGGTTATTTCCTTTATTTTTTTCAGTATTAC